CTAATCACACGATGCTCCTGAAGCTGTCACTGCTGGTCAGGCCGTCTAACTGTCGTCAAGCAGAGAGGAAGACAGACCCGTCACATCACAGTAGGAGATGGTGGATGGTGCAGGTTGAGAGATAACCAAGCTGCGTGATATATATGGGATGATGATAGGAGCCGGTTTACTAGACATGAATTAAGGACTTAGGCCTTGACTGGAAAGTGTGCAGCAGCGGAGATGTTCTTTGTCTTTTTTAGAGCTTTCAGGTTCAGGAGCAGGAACACATACATTCAGTTGATGGTGTGTGCATTGGTTTATGGAGTCCAAATGACCTCATCATGACTTCAAATGTGATTAATGTTATGCCCTGGAGGCACTGACTGAAACAAACACCAAGCAGTAAATGGCTGCGACAAAAACAAGATTTTGTATTAAGGCTTCCTGTATGGCAGACAAACAGCACAAACAGCACAGGTAACATTAATTCATTAGTTATGTCTTCTTTTAATTGTGTTAGTTTCAGGGCTGTGGTTTTGCGCATGCTAGCTCACTGGTTTTGGAGACTTAAATGGAATGGAGCCATTATTAGTTATTAGTCACACTTGTGGTTTTCCTGTTATCACAAATCACAAATGTCTGCTATAAAAGAAGGCGTTTCGATTTTCCAGAGGGTAAGCAATCAAACAGTCTACTGGAGGGGTCGTCCTGATGAAGAGCTAGTTAAAAAGACAAAGCAAGCGGCATGTTGTTGGAAGGTAAAGTGAACCTTGTAACCCAAACCTTGTTCTTATTGACAGATTATTACTGATCTGTAAAGCATTTATAACTCTGTTCTGAGGTGATATCTGTACTTTGTCATACCTGTCCTGGTGGACATTGTCGGTAAGGTCTGCTTAATGCAGAGCCAGCATGTTTGTAGATTAACATACACAATGGTTTTATGTAAGCAAGCATAGACTCAGCAGTATTGCATCATATTATCTAATTACTGGTTTTCAACCTAAGGCCTGATAATATGAAAGTGCCTCATGTCATTTAAAATCAGGTTAATTAAATCCAAATTTAATGGGTATAATATTATATTGCCAATTCACATTATTTTAACCCTCACCTAACTTACTTACATTGCAGTCAAACACACGTTTTGAGTTGTCCGATGGTGTGAACGCTATGTTGTAAATAGCAAAATTAGCTAAAAGCAAGCTTCCACAAAAATGTTTCCCATATTCTAATTACTGAAGATGGGAGATGTGTACACGTTAGTGTACAGCAGCTGCAAATGTAGATACTTAATATACAAACCTGTCAAAGGTTTTGAAGGACTGGAATTTATATAAATGCAGTAAATGTATGCCCAAACTGACCCTACAAAATATAGAATTTATTTTATTATATTGATTAATGTATTTCTCACGTGAGCAGTGTAGATCAGATCTACTCATTTGTCATATAGGTTGAATTTAACGAGCTTGCAGTGTAAATCTCATTTTTTGAGTTTGAAGCCTCAGTCAAGATTGAAAGACTGCATGCAAGACAAGACAAAGACTGTTACTGAGGGTTTGTTTGACACAACATCTGACAGTTTGTGTTACGTAGAAGCATGCCTGGAGCACTAATAATAATGAAGACATAAAAACAAAAACGGAAACGTCAGTCATCGTTCTCTCCCGCACCCACATGTTACAAAATAAAACAAACAAACCACCAAAGATGGACGCATGCGGAGTATGCACATGAACTATATATAAACACACACACACCAAATATAGCATCTTTAGCTGTGACACGTTTACTGTCGGAAACAAGAGCACTGAGAGCCATTTCATTTACATGCAAATTGACACCCACCAGTCCACCACACGCACACACACTCTCCTTCCTGGCATGCGCGTGTGTGTGCCTGTGTGTTTGTGCATGTGTATTCATGCACGTGCGTGAGCAGAGTAGCTGCTCTGCTGGCATCCAGTGAAGGTGCTATCCAGTCCTGCTGCTTTTTCTGCTCACTAAAACTAGACACAAAGAGAGAGAAAAGACAGAGAGAGAGAGAGAGAGAGAGAGAGAGAGAGAGAGAGACTCTGATTTCATTTTCCATATCCGGTTCAGCCGCTCTTCAGTTGACAAAACAGGCATGAAGAGAAGCCCATTAAAGAGGCCCCATGCAGCCATGTGTTTGTCATCTCATGTTGGCACTGGGTAATGATGGGCTGGGGCCTAGAAGTGTCCTCTGATCAGATTTCTCCTCTTGTCACAAGGAGATAAAGGATCACTTGAGGTGATTGAGCATTTTACAATAATGAGCTTTGAGAGAGTGATCATCAGGGCTGAGATGTGTAACTGTATTGACTGAACGTGATACAGTAACATTGAAATTCAACGGTAACCACCCCTTGTTGGCAGAATGAACCAGTTCTCCACCAGTGTCCACTGTGATAGGTAAGTGCAACTGTCAGATGCAATGCAGAGTACATCTTTTGAAACCAGATATCTGTCACTCTCTGCTGGTTAATACAAGGAACTGCATTAAATCTCACTATTAAATCACATCCTGCTCTCTCCTGCATACACCCTGTTTAAAAGGGCATGCATGTGTTATATATTTGCAATCTCATATATTTGAGATTTAGATTTTTGGTTTCACTTTATTTTACAAGGAAGTAATTTCCTTATAATTTTAATTACTTCATTTGGTTTAAATATATGGAGCATGTTTTATACACAGTTGTTATTTTCCAGAATAACTTTCTTACTTCTTTCTACATTTTAAACGCAACACAATATTAATTAATTGTTATTGAAAATGTCATCCTTTATATATGTTGTATTATATTTATATATTATATAGTTTGTCTGTTGTTATATGTTCAGCAGACTCAAAGACTATCTCAGAAATGTAGAATAATAAAAGTATATCGCTATCTCTACCCTATAATTAATACCAAATCACAAAGTTCTTTCCAGGAATTTATAATGCAAAATTTAATTTCTGCCATTTTAAATGTCTTTAAATGTCATAATATCAATTTTTTAATTGCTTACTTATTGTCTTACTCATTGCTATTATACGAATGCATCATTACAACAAGCTCAAGGACACTTAAGGGCCAGAATCAGTTTGCTAGATCAGCCAGTTCTAAACATTATCAGAGTCTTGTGCTCTCTATCTGTAGTTAAAAACCTTCCAAACAAAAATTATCTGCTAACAACTTGACATAAATTTAAAATTCATCTCCGGGTGTTTCGTCTGATAACGCAGCAAATTAAACCAATTACACAAAGAACAATTATACTTACAACCCAATCCATCCCTCCCCAAATAAAACCAATTAACCAATCAGTCACTGTAGGCTGATTTCATTTGCTATTAAGAGTCATTTAGTGAAGCCTGTAGTATAGAGTGGCAGATAATCAGCACCACATTTGATTATCCGTTGAGAGAATTATACACTCCTCAGTGCGGGAAACTGGCCGGGTTGCAGAGATTATTTCTGTTATTATGGAGCTGAATGGCTCGCCCAATGGCCTCAATCCGATTTAGCACTATCAGAGAGAGCACCAGTGTTGTAAAGTGCACTCACACGGTCGCATTACTCAGGAATGGGTCTTGTAGAGTATGTGTGTGTATGTCTGTACTTGAAATGCAGTCTAGTTTAATTGATACATTTGCAATTTCAAGGTTAATTTCTCTGCAGGTTTAATTATTCTGATTAACAACGGAAAATAAAATACACATTTGATTTTAAGATAGTTGCGATTTGAAGGTTGATTGGTGTGTTGCTGTTTATTCAAACAAGATGTGTTGATTGATCTAATCTACAATTAAACTGTGAAATTAAAGGTCCAGTGTGTAACATTTAGGAGGAGCAAAAATTGTATTTAATATCCACAACTATGTTTTAATTAGTGTATAATCACGGAAAATAAAAATCGTTGGTGGTTTTTACCTTAAAATGAGTCACTTTTATCTACAGATGACACAGGATGCCTTCCATGGAGGCCACTATGTTAAACCACCATGTTTCTACAGTAGCCCAGAACGGACAAATAAAACACTGGTTTGCAGCAACTGTAGTTTTTCCTCCATGCTTGGAAGGGGAGGGTGAAGCGAGAGAGATCTGCAACTATACTGCTAGATGCACACTAGTCCTCTCACTGATGACATATGAATTACAGTACTTAGTAGTACTTAGTATAGTTCTTACTGCCGTACTTACGCCAAGACCCTTAATTTATCCAATATGGGATAGAAATGTCCCATTTTAAATGTTTGCAGTATAGTACAGAGAAATTGTTTAAGAAAATTCTTCTTCTGTAATTCTTCTGATCAGTGATGTGAGCACAGATTTTTTCAACAAATCTTCAGCTCAAATCTGTCCACGTTACATTGTTCTGCACTGGTTTGTTTTACTTAATTATGCAGCCATTTAGGCCAGTCATCTCTTGAAAAACAGTCTCATCTCTAACCATGCAGCCAAAGAAAAGGCTGACTTTAAAATGTTTAACACAAGTAGTTACTGAAATCATTAAAGGAGCATTCCACCAACTTTACACATGCTGTTCAGTTTACTTGTCATGGGTAGCATTACTCAACCTGTGGAAACAGTTTCGTAATTTCTTCTGTGGCTCTGGAGGGAGCTTTCTAAAGTCTGAGATAACAAATAACACAACAAATAATCCTTCATAAATAATCATCAAAAGCTTTATTACAGTGCACTCTGAGGGTTTCAAATAAACTTTTTCTACAATGATGCAGAGAAAATAAATTATATTAATATAAAATAAAACCTGTGTACATTGTGATCTTATTTTTTGATCTGCAGTAGGGCAAAGTAAATAATTTATTAAATATGATCAAGTATCTAAATTACCTACGTGTGGTGTTTGCCAGAATGCTACATCATTGGAAATATAGCAAAATCATTGTTCTCAAGGATTAGGCAACTTGGTAAACAACCTTGCAGCACAGATCAAAACATTTTAAGACAATATTTTATCATATGACAAGTAGGGAGCTACATCTAGCAAAACTGGATCAACTCTTTCATGCTGCATCCTTTCTCACAGCAAATATCAGATATTTTTCCAGCAGCTCGTCTAATCCGAGAGGACACACGGTACCAGTGAGGAGCCAAGAAGAACACATCCTTTTCCCCGTGAGACTCTGCCTCCATAGACTGGTGCTCCTCTGTGGAGGCGTCCTGGTCCCCTATGTAGAGGAGGTGGATAGACATTGGGGATTTAGAGAGAACCCTGAAATTTTGTAGTTTTTGAGAACAAAAAGTTCGAAACTTCAAAAAGGAAGAAATAGATTGTACCATTACGGAGATAACTCAATGAAATATATAAATTCTAAAATAAATATATATCATCCTGTATCAGGGGTCACAAAGTTCATCAAGACCTCTCAAACGTTTAAATGTAAACTATCTCTAATATCTATCCACAATACTGAAGTTCAAGTAAGCAATGCCTCTATCAATGCACTAACATAAAGTACTTACAGTGAGAAGTGTACTGATGTTCTACGTCCAGGATGCTTCTCCTTAGCCGAGAGTTACCACATGATGAGACGGCCAGACGTATCAACTCTCTCCCACACATCTTAATCCTCTCCTGGGCATGAGTAACACACACTGCAACCAGCAGCACCACCATCAGAGACACCAAACACTTAGCAGCAGCCATTGTATGATGTCTTACTGCTCCTCGTGGGTCAGTGGAGAAAGGAACCGAACGGATGAATAGTTGGGAGGTGAGGTTCGGGGCGTGTGGAAACTAATGAGGATGTGCGGTGACTTGAGGTGAACGTGAGGGGGTTTATATAGTCGCTCTGTGTTACCCGTAGAGGTGTTTTCAAAAATGCTGAGGCCACAGATTCTTCCAAATATGTATTTAGCCTTGGTGAAAGAAAAGCATGTCCTGATCTAGAGCTCAGCATGAGAGTGATGCGAAGTCTCCTCAAGGCTGAAACTCTCATTTAGATAAAAACCTGGTCCGACAGTAATCCACAGCTCAATCATAAAAACATTAGTGGTGTTAAGCAAGAAATGTTATGAATTGCTTTAGCCATTGAGACTCACAAAACATCATAAAGCTCTTCTGAACTCAACAGAGGCCTGAGTTGTGTCCTTTTTTAAGAAAAATGTAAGTTAACAGGGAAACTGAGATGGATTTTGAGCAGTGCAGATGCCAATAAACCCTGTGTTTTTACACCTCTATTGTTAGGGTTCTTAAATTGTTTTACTCCTCTAAACCCAGTATTAATTAATTAATAAACCAGTATTTGTTTGTTTGGAAATTGGCAAAACACCATAAATCATGTGAACTATTTCCCTTGAATGTGAATTGCTTCTACACCTTGACACATGTTGAGGGATGGCAGCTAATAGGAACAGAGTGCGACTAGCAAAAAAATGTCAAGGATATTGACGCACCTATTCACACACATGGTCACCCGAGGACATACTGTAGTTGCAGGTCACACCAGTGATGACTTTCATATTTCCAGCCCTGATGAAAAATATGAAAGGTGGCACTTGAATATACTTCTGGCTATGCTTGGTATTTTAACCTCTATTGGAAATATCTTAATATTGGTTTACTACTCTCAACTGCTGTGCAGCAATTTTCATTTCCTAGTAGGATATCAAATTAAAAACACCAGTAATAATTGTTTATTATTTTTTACTCACTTATTCTTATACTTGTAGAAGATGTTAAAGGTCCAGTTTGTAGGAAGTACACTGTGATCATTATCTCACATAAAGGAAAGGGAGAGCTACAATCTGCAGCTACACCGCTAGATGCCACTAATCTACACACTTTTAAAGCTGGTGCTGTTCATTATTATTTTCAATCCACTTAGTACAACAGGGGGAAACTGTAATGGCAGCGAAAAATGCGTAAAATGTGAAACGGCCTAGTGTTTGATTTGTCCGTCCATTTCTACTGTAGAAACATGGCTGTTCAACATGGCGGCCTCCACGGAAGGTGACCCGCACTGTCTGAATATTGTATTCCATTTCTGCTAACAGATCCTCCTGAATGTTACGCTCTTCAAGCACCTTTAAAATTAGTGATTTATGGTCATTCAAAGTTATGTGTCAGTGTATCCTGTACATGTGGTATTTACACTATTTCTGGTGAAAGTATATGTTTCACTACACCTGTATGAAGTCACTTCAACAACCTGTATATAGGTCTGAGTGAAAGATTATCTATCAAATATAGTTTTATATGCAGTCATTTTAGTCAAGTTGATGGGTTTTATCTGCTCTCCAACATTGTATGCGTGTACTGATCTGTCCCTGATGACCCTCTAGACTGCATCTATTCCTGTCCATTAGGTCCTGGCTGAGTCATGGCTGCCAGAATCTTTCAGTACTGATGCTGACAGCACTGTTAAAGCACTGGCATCCCTCCCATTACCTTATCCTGTAATACTACTAAACAGGCAGCATAGTCCCTCAGATAAATGATACAAGTGTCTGTTAATACACATAGACATCAAGATTCTTGTATTGAAAGGAAATGTGAACCATATAAGAGTAATATTAGGGATATTAAGATCAAGTATATATTTTAATGTTTAATTAAAATCAGTGTTTTACATGATTTCCAACCTGTGTTGCATTTGTTTATTTTACAGGTTTGTTTTGTTTTTATGCACAAGAAAGAAAAATAAATACACATTTTACAGTATTTGTACATGGCAAATCTCTTTTACAGTCATTGAGTAATAGATATACTTTCATCTCTGGAAAGAGGAATACAATAATATTCAACAACTAGAAATGCCTGTCAAATTAAATATATATCATAAAGTGTCCATCTTTGTAACTTTTTGTGTGCACTTTCTTTTACCAATGCAATCACATTCATACAGTTACACACATCCATGCAAAAGAGCTGTAAAATTGCTAAAAATATTTTACCCAGTGACTCAATCAATTAAATGTAAACAGATAAAACAATAAAATGTATCAATTAATGTCACTATTGAGCAAATTCTTATTCTTCAACAAGTATTAAGAAGGAAGCGTTAATAATGTTATACCAGCGATTCTCCCCTGATCACATACAATATAACATACAATACTGTCACTGATTATGTTTCATAGGTGAAGTCAGTAAGGGGCACCCTGGTAGCTCACCTGGTAGAGCTGGCCCCCAATGTACCAGTCCTTGCTGCAACGACCATGGGTTCGAGTTCGACCCGTGGCCCTTTGCTGTGTGTCATCCACTCTCTCTTTCCTGTCAATCTTCCGCTCTCCTAGCCAATAAAGGCAAAAAGACCCCCAATATATACATATATATATATATAGAGAGAGAGAGAGAGAGACAGATAACATCAAGTCTAATACATTGTAGAGATATGTGTTTTTTTAACAGAGGTTTGTCATGACCAGAAGCACAACACATTATCATTACAATTGGACAGAGGGTGTGAGGGCTGGCATTGATTACAACCAATTCAATATCTAATTTTCCTTTCCTTTAAAATCCCTCCTTTTTGTTTAAAACCTGTGCACTGAACAGTCCTGGGCAGATCTGAGAAAAGAGTTGCCTTATTCATTGCCTATAGTGAGTAGCCAATACTCCTACCTTAGATTTGTTTGGGAGGAGATAATACGTTTGCTTACAATAACTCTCTGGTCTTTAGAGAGCTGTTGCCCAGAACAGGAATTGGTTTAATGATCTTATCCGAAGAGCTTAACACAGCCAACAACACAGTGCAAGGGCAGTTTGACTACAGGCCTGGGCCATGCTTTATCCTGACATCTACAGGCCAAGAACATGGAGGTCAATTCTCACTCCCTGCGGGGACCAAATACTGAAATGTTGGATGTGTAACTAGTGAGAATGAAAAATGGTGTGTCTCAGTGTAACTATTTGAGGTACAGGTCTACAGTATATGAGAATAAAATTGTTCATATATCACCCATGAAAATAGTTTGTAAGAAAGTAAGTAGGACCTGATTGTGTGCACCTGATTAGATCCTCTGTGCCACCAAAATAGCACAGATCATGATTGACTTTGCCCTTGTCTGACCAAGCAGGAGGCGCAAGCACAAATCCCGATAATCCTTGACAACAAAATTACACTCATGCTCTTGATCGCTACTAACACACCATGCGCTGTGTCTCTCCTCCCACTTAGGTACAGTCAAGAGCATGTCGAGTGACTAGAGTGTGCTTTCGGACAAGAATACCACTTTCCTGACACTTGAAGCATGGCACACGGAGGGGCTCTGAATTGATGATGTTGCACATAAATCCAAGAAGTTTTCATTGCTTATTGTACAGTTGTATTACCTTACCCTAAAAAAGTGGAAGACAATGACCACAGCCAAAAACACGACTGAAATGGAAGTTATACTCTCTTTTGTGCGGATTATCAAGAATGTAAAGTTAAACAGTTTATTAATAGCACTAGCAGGAAACAGTTCCTCACATGCATCAAGCTCCCTTTAAAGTGATTAGAGTGTAACATTGTTTAATTTATAATGTTACTACTTGACCTCCTTGTGTCAAACTTCTATTTCAGTTTAATCAGAATTACCTGCAGCCGGGTGCTATTAATAGAAACAGATAACGAGCTGTGGGAGCATCTTGTCCATTTGACTGAAGAGTCATCAGCCGTAGCATGCAAACATCACCTACTGTAAAGCTGAGGCTTAAAGCTTATCTCAACTTGCTGCTGCCTCCATTTTCCCTCCATAGATTGTTTATCTTAAATCACATAGGCTCAGAATTGGAGGCAGATGGGGTCCTACAGTTTCTCGACCCATGGGTGATAAGGCCATTTAGGGTTAGCGAGGTCACAAGTTGGCAGCTTTGCTCAATCCTCGCTCTCACGGATAGTTTGCCTCACGCTGGGCCGATAGTGTATCTCATCTTCAAAGTCATCTGGCTGGGGTGAGAAGCAGCTGTCAAATTTGCGCCTCAGACGTTTCTTGAGCTGGAAGGTGCGCTCTGTGTTTGAAACTCTGTATTCCTGTTCCTTCAGTTTGGCGTAGTAGTCGGAAAACTTGTTGAACAGAATGGAGATGGGCATGCCATTGAGGATGATGCCAAAAGAGATGCAGCCAAATGCCACACAACGGCCAAGATAGGAGATAGGGACGACATCGCCATAGCCAACAGTAGATATGCTCACCTGTAGGATGAAAAGAGTTACATGAGTCATCTTACAGGAAGGATCTGTAGGAAAGGGCACCCCACACTTGTTTTTGGATGTTTTGCACTTTTAAGAAATTTAGAGCATGGTGAGGAAGGAAAATTTGGGGATTTCCCTTATTTTTTTCCAAAGAGGGCGGCCTCATTCTCATGGTGCTTTTCACCCTGCCCCAAAATACCCCTTGTCTATGGCTTCTTGAGAGTCCAATAATTAAAATGTTTTTTCATCAGTTTATTTGATCCTGTTAAAAAGGAACAGGATCAAATAAACCTCCAGGAATGCATTGCAACACTTCCCATCTCTCGAATGCAATCACTGTCTGGCCACAAATGAGACGCATTACACGGCATTAGGGGGGATTAGACACATATAAGTTAACAGCTGCCACCAGATAAATAAAAAACAAATGTCTCTAAATAAGAGTGCAAGGGAATACAGAGAACCAGGCAGATGACGTACAGGAACTCTAGTACAGTAAAACAAAGAAAGTAAAATTTGAGGCTGTTACTCTTGTGCTGAAAAACACCTGAACAACCTTCATCTTATTTCTTACCATAGTCTGCTATGTAAAATTAAACTACGAGTAGAAACAGAATCCGTAGTGTTGAAACCTTTTAACATTTATTCCTACAGACTGCCTACTAGATCAAATATCTAGGTAGCTAAATATACTGCACCACATTGCTCCATAATTACATATTCAATTGCAAAAAGTGTATGACACAATTCTGTCAACTAGAATTCAAAAGGTAACTATCTCACACAATTTCTTTGTGAGAATGCGTTTTTTGCTCTAAATTCCATATTACTATGAAACTATTACAGGACTCCCATATGTTGTCTACTCGTCATTACCACTTTAGGAATAGTCTGACATTTTGGGAAATTTGCTTATTCACTTTCTTTCCAAGAGTTGACGATGATCAATACCTCTCTCTTGTCTGTCTGTTAAGTGTCAAAGCTAGAGCCAGCATGCTGTTAGCTTAGCTTAGTATAAAGGCTGGAAACAAGGGGAAAAAGCTAACCTGGCTATGTCCAAAATGTTAAAAAATCCACATACCAGCACCTCTAAAGAACACTTATTAACATGTTATATTGTTATTGGTGCATTAATGATTAAGAGTGAGCACACAGTGTGTTACCCTTAACATAATTAGTTTGGGAGGAGATAACACCTTATATTCATATAGTTAAGAGAAAAATTCAGTTTGTCAGAAAGCAAAGCACCGGTTGGTGCTTAAACACAGGTGGTCCTCACCAGAAAGTTCTCCACAGCTGTTGAGACCAACATAATTATTATGGTCCATACTGACACATCTATGTTGGATAACAGTTGCTCGCACAACAATCAAATGTCCATTATTAAAGTTAAAGATGCGTCTCAATTTTCCTGCTTAAGCGATTTATATCAAACTTGTCATTTATTCACTTAAAGTACCAGTGCGCAGGATTTAGTGGTGGTGAAGGTTTAGATTGCATCTAACTGAACACCACTCACGTTTGTATTTGACAACCTGGGAATGAGAACGAGCTGGAAAGTGTGTAGGAGAATCCATGGTAGCCTTGAAACTAATGTTGGTTCAACATGGCAGACTGCATGTAAGGTGACCCATGGCCTCTTCAATTACATAACAATTCTTATATTCAGGTGATCATCATTAATGAAAACAATCTATAAATATTATATTCCATTTCTGCCAATAGATCCTCCTAAATGTTACACACTGGACCTTTAAATATGAATTCATTGCTTGGTAGAGCCACAAATATAGCACAGAACATGACGCCTTGCACTGTGCACTTTTGTCTTGGTCTGACTATATCCAGGAAGCACAAATCCCAGCAGGCCTAATCCTTGACAACTGAAATGCACCACTCTACTTAGTCATACTGACACCCCTTGAGCTCCACCTGAATCTCTTCAGCACAGCCAAGAGGAACAGCTTAGGATGCTACATAACCGAGTTACCTGATCTGGAAGTATCTAAAAGACAGCCATAAGAGCCGATCGAATCCTCTAAATGCTGTGCACCAATCCTCCTTCCATTATTAATACTGACAATTCAGGTGTTACCTGGTGACATATGAATATGTAGCCTAGTACAAGTTGCACTTTGGTTTGACCTTCTAAATTAATGTAATTGATTATCCATCACATCTTGATCCCATTTTTGCTTGATAAATGATGTTTCCATCAAGGTCAAGAAAAATGGGGGACAATGGGAAAAACTTAACTAACTTTACACAATTTGTATCCAGCTAAAGTCATGGAAAAGTCTCCAAAAAAGGCGCAGCCTACAGAAGACTAAAGAGCACTGATGATTTGTAATAAAAATAGAGCCCAAACTGCAAAAATCCAGAACCAGAAATTTTACTGAATTGGATTTTAAAGTATCCCACTCACCGCAGCCCACCACCAGGCATCTGGTATACTGCTGAATGGTGTCCCTGGCTGATCCACCTCCACAGAGTGCATCAGAGCAGAGAAGGTGAAGATGCCCATGGCAATGAACAGAAACAGACAGCACACCTAAATAATGACAGAGGAGTACATGTCAACAGCAGTGGCTATTCATATTTGGAAATAAGTATACTGATAAATCCACCACCAATCATTAGCTTTATAATGACTCACCTTGTTTACCTTCATATTATATCACAAAATGTACAAACAGCTTTAGAACATGAATGGCCCCAGTATGGAAGGGATGCCAAGACACACTGAGCGTTTTATCAGTACAGAACCTTGTGTCATTGTCAGATCTGTCTCTCAACAGGTTGCAGCACAGTAGTATGTTGAATGAAATTGAATGTGTTGTTAAATGACTGTTTATGCCCTCAGCTTAACTACGACAAGAATGTGATGTCTGGGTGGCCACATGAAACTTGTCATAATCTCTTCCATGCTGCTTTTCTTTCTATGTCTAGGTCTTGAGCTACCCCCTCAGAGTGAAGGGAAAACAAGCATAAAACAGAATATTCTAATTTTATCACTTCATAACGTTAGCAAACTGTGGATTGGACAACATTGGAGTCATGTTTTTGACTTCCTGACAAATGTCGCCTGATATTCACTCCCTGAGGGAAATATCTGCCTTCTTAGCTGCTTAAAGCTCCACTATGTTCACCAACAATATTGTGATCCATTGTTAACATACTGGCTATAGCCGCTTTAACTTATGTGAGCTGTATTGTTTCATTTGCGCATGCCATGTCCCCTCAGTTAAAGATGTTTCTGTTAGATTTGCCTTGTTTGATAGTCCTCCATACCTGCTCAGAGCACTGTCGGATGGTGAAACCAAACGCCCTCATGCCTGTGGAGTGACGGGCAAGCTTCAAGATACGGAAGATGCGCATCAGCTTGACGACCTTGAGCACCTTGCTGACTTTACTGACCCTCGCCATGGTCTTCAAATCTTCCTTTGCACCGACGTCTTCTGAATCCATAACAAATGCCTCAAAAAGGATCTGGACGAAGTAGGGCATAACAGCCACCACATCAACAAAATTGAGGGCACTCTTCACAAAATGTTTGATGTTGGATGTTGTTAATAACCGTAAAAAGTACTCCATGGTGAAGAAAAGGATGGAAGCAATCTCTACCCACTCCATATAGGTTCTGCCAGCAAGTTTGTACTGCCTGAGTTCCTTTACTGTATTCATTGTCATGGCAACAATAGAGATAAGCACAAAGAGACTGGAAAACACAGCAAAAGCTTTGGCGGACAGTGAGGAGTAAGGATTCTCCATCAAGTCCCAGAGGATCTTCCGTAAACCTCCAAGAAACATGGACTTGTATCCTTCATCATCTTCGTGAGGCCTAATCTCATCGATCAGCTCCTGGTTGACCTTCAGTTGGTCTCTGATGTCATCGACTTTCTCCTCAAACAGAATGCGGCAGCACCTGAGAAGAAGAAGAAGAAGAAGAAGAAGAAGAAGAAGAAGAAGAAGAAATTTATTGTCTATCTCTACAAGAGCTATTTTTCACAATCAAGCTTGAAATACACAAACACCAACAAACCAAGCTAGACTTTGATACTAATATCTACAGCACACCTTGGAGTGTCCTTCAGTTTCAAGCCCCAGAATGACATTTCCTCCTCAAAGTTGACAGAGCAGAGACTATCCATCACCCACAGGACCTTACTGCAGTAAAAGTGGAAGATGTAGTGGAAAAACATGGGATCCCTGTCAAAAAAGAACTCGTTGTTCTGAACATTGTAATCATCACAGAGCGTCAGACGCTTGACCGGATCATTACAGAGGGCAAGGACTCCAATCCTGGTTTTTGGGTGTTGGAGGACTAAATGCTTTGGGATGTGAAACACCTTTCCACCCACGTTGAGATTGACAATGTTTGATTGCCTTGGTTTTCGTGCCTCGTTGGTCTGATTATTATTTTCAGTCAAAACGTCATCAGAAGTATCAAGGTTGTCCATGGATGTCCACGGTTTCACAGAGCTGTCCTGTGAAAAGGGGAATTCACATTCCTGTTCTTCAGTGCTTTGCGAAAAACTCACTTCCCGTTTTATGGTTGCAAAAAGACTGGAGCGACGCTTTTTCAGCACTTTCAATCTGGGCTTCATAGTCTCCATTGTGACAGCTCCTTAGAAGACAAACGAACAAAAAAGTTTTGTGCCAAGTTCAGATCAAGTCAATAAAAAGCAGTAACAACAGTATTCCACAAGATCTCCATTCAGACTGAATGTTGTCCTCTAAAACTCATTATCAGGTTGAAATAAACATGAAAAAAGAGCTACCGCGCTTGTCTCTCAGCATGCAAGAAGATCAACTGCATGAGTTAGGGATTCAGCCTCTTTACTGATTCTCTAATCCTATTGCTGTCCTTTCTGTCCAAAGGCAAGTTAAAAATACTGTTCACAAGGATTAGTCTTGTGATTTAAGGCTTTGAGTTCTGAGAGAGGCGGAAAGGCGGACTGAGTAGTGTGATGACAGTATTGCATTGCTATCAAGGCTATGGAGAACTTTCGCACAGGAAGTTCATAATAATGCTACAGGTAGATTACACTGGCTAGTCCCAGCTATAGCATAATTTGTTTGTCCATTTCAAAATATAGTAATAATAGGTATTATGTAATACTGAATACAAAAACTGAGTGTATGGACCAAATTATGGCTCCGTTAAAAAGTGTCTAAGTGTGTTAAAAAATCTAAATTAGAGTAAAATATGAACTGTAAATATGATTTTTTTTTTAAAATACATGTTTTTTATATTTAAAATATGTCTCATCAATCACTGTGATTCACAAGCCAATATGCTCAGATTTAACACAGTATAGCCTAATGTCATGTCATTTAATTTACGTTGTGTGGTCTTAAGTAGGTTATCTTGGATAGATGTCTGTATGTTACAGAGATCCCAATCAATAAGTGGAAAATACTTATATTGAATAATCTATTATAAAACAGAAAGTAACAAACACCCGCCTGAAAATATACACTTTTTTTTTATATTTATTATTTATTATGATCATCTATTATTCACACGTTGTAAAGTTAAAATAAGTGATATGGTAAAAAGGATTACACGAGTTTAACTAATGGTACGGCCCTGGTTTCCACCCATGAAGCTTTGTTGGAATGGTATTGGCCATTTGGCGGAAAAGGAAGTGGGAATCTAAAATTAAAATTTCAATTTAAAAAATGAAATTGGTTTTATCTTATGAGTTTATTTCGGTGTATGTGTTTATAATCTAACCACAGTTAAAATAAAATTGTTAAATTTGAAAAAGATTAAGAATTACAGTTGCCATATATCCCCGCCGTGCCCCACGTGACTTCCTTTCCGGTCTAACCTGACAACATGGACGCCAGCCGCGTGCAGCCGATTAAGCTCGCAAGAGTAAGAAAACATCTAATATAGTCAAAAATAATCATACCCGGGGGGATATACAGCTACAGTAACAACTAATGTATCACACGGTCTCAAAACATTTTAGCTAAATTTACTTTTATGTACTGTTTAGTGTCCGGCACGTCTTCTCTCGTGCGTCCATCATGGAGGCCCGTCCATGCTACTGTCTACTAGCTAGCTCACTATTAGCCTCTTGTTCTGGGCATGTAGTTCGTAGGGTAAACACGATGTTAACTTTAAAAAGTGTGTGGCGTCAGTCTAATTTATATCTTATTTTCCAGGTCACCAAGGTGCTCGGAAGAACTGGTTCCCAGGGACAGTGTACACAGGTATGATAAGAAGGCTAATGTCTGAGTTAGCATTTACACTGAACTATAAAAGAGATTCTCTTTGAGCCCAGCGTTGGTTAAAGTTTACCGGATACCTCTCATACAAATATATGCAGTACATCCAGAAATGTACTGAAATATGAATGTTTTGACAAATATCATTTTTGTATTTGCGATATAAGTTTTACTAAAAGTCTAGCTTCAGTCATTCAGTAAAACTCTTGTGTGTGTGTGTGTGTGTGTGTGTGTGAGAAACGTTTATTGGTGGTTAAATTTCAAATCATGGTGGTCTCCGTATTGGCCACTAACTTGGTGTCAGATATGTCAACATGTTTAAGACTTGACTTGTATTTTATTGTAATTGTGTCATTTCGTCTGCTGTTCTTTCAGGTCCGTGTTGAGTTCATGGACGACAGCAACCGCTCCATCATCAGGAACGTGAAGGGCCCAGTGAGAGAAGGAGATGTGCTGACACTTCTGGAGTCTGAAAGAGAAGCCAGGAGGCTGCGATAGGTGAGCCGGCATAGTTAGTTAGTAGATAGTTGGCATCACCCAAACTGTCGCATTAGAGGTGCCTAACAGTAATCTGAAGACATTGGTTTGGGCACTCATTCATTTATTAGATTAAACACTATACAAATAAGAAATAGATGAATTGGTAATTAGTTGAATCTCAGTTGGCAATAGTGCTTTGCAAAAGAATGAATCAGTGTATTATAAAAGTCTAGTTTGAGACTGAAATCAGTGTTTTGTTACATCGTATTGAAAGGTGTCCTGTTCTCTGTAAATGTCATCTTAATAATAAGGATAATATAAAACCTTTCAGTGTAACTGACTACTAAAACATCACAATCTGTGGGCTCAAAAATTACCATAGTCATAAATATAAAAATTGTTGGCAGTGGCTAAAAACCATGAGCTCTACTTCTGAAAGGTAGGCTTATTGCACAGCATTTTGTAATGTGTTTAATAACGGGGTTGATATTTCTCGGTGAGTCAGGTTCTTTTGGGTTTTTTTTTCTCTGCCCTGATGACATCTTAGTGCAGTGGGACATAATGCAGCTCAAACACATTAGACTGTATGTTGACATGTAAAGTTTAATTACAGTGATGCATCTAATCTATCATGGCCCACTTTGAAACAAAACAGTTTCTGAAAGTAAACTTCAGTGACAGTTGAACTCTTGTGAATTTCAGCCAGCTCTGTGGTTCCCTGCTGGTCATCAGGACTGCATTCAATTCTTACACCATGGACTTATTTTCTCTTGGGGCACCAGACAAATGCAGGACAAGTGGCAATATTTGGTCACAATAACCAGGACATAGAATCACTGTCGTTGCTTCGCAATATTATTATACTACTTCATGGTAGTTTTCTCTTCTCTGCTAGTATCCTGTTACTAAGCCATTAAACATTTTATTTTATGTTGAGTTGAATCTGGTTTTGAGATGGCGTGTGACTGATTTCTTCTCCGTAGTGCCCGCTGAAGCTGTGAGGTGTAAATCCAACGCTGTGGAGCACAAGGCATCATCGGTTTCACTTGGAATGGCCAACATCTCACTTGTTCAGATGTTTTGAAATAAATTTGGGTATTAAGATGAGTGGATGTCCTGTGCTTTTTGTATAGTAAATGCAAACTGTCCCCCCCCCTTATCATAATTAATTGACATTTGAGGCTGCCACATTGAACGGCCTTCGAGTGTGACACAAGCTTGCTTCCAACGTTTGTTTTTCTGGTTAGTAATTTGTCAGTTGTAGTCAAAGTATAGAAGCAATGTGACAGCACACAGATGTGTAAATGCATGGTGTACCTATTCGTTAGTGATAAAGTATTCTCAAGTCACTGGTCTATATTTTGTGAGTAATCGAAACGCTATTGTGGTGAAAAGTTCAAGATACTTGCCAATTGAAGTAATCTGAGTTAATGATCCCTTTTTTTTTTTTTTTTTTTAAAGCATCAAATCAAGATTTTAACAAACTAGTTTGTATTTTTCCACAAGTGTCTCAGTACAATAATTCCTGTGCACTTAAAGCTAGAGTAGCTTTATTTTTAAGTGACAGAAGGTCATGTGATTGTGGCCTGTAATTGAGCCCTTTCTGCTGCAGTGTTAATATATTGACATAATTGTTGCAGATTTATTTCAATAAATGAAATTAATGTCCAAATTTGGTTAATTATATCTACATCTGGAGAAAAATATGCAGTTTATATTCTGTCCAACAGAGGGCAGTATCCCTCTTAGTTGCTTTCTGAGTTTACAGTCACTGTAGTGATCTCAAGCAGTTGCAGGTTCTCTTCACTCAGTCTGGTCCTGTTATGAAGCCCTAACCATGAGTTATTTAAAGACATGCTGCTTGGCCAGGAAAACCACTTCACAGGCACTTTTTCCTCAACTTCAACTTGTTAATTAAGAGAAACTTAATCAACTTATTTCATTGTCAAACTTAAAACTCAAAATTTTGGCTAAACATATATGTATGATTGTATATGGCAAAGTATAGTTCTTGCTTAATAACAATATAATACGGACCGCCATGTGGTTTTGTCTTTATATGAAAACATTTACAAACATCAGTTTTTCACTTTAATGGTGTTACACATATGCCTGGATATGTTCCACATATTAAATATATTTCAACCAAGTAAAAAAAATTACAAAGAGGCCACATTTCTTAACTTCAGACATTTTCCACCCTTGTTCACAATGTGAGAAAACAAGTCTGAAACCATTTTCCTGTTGGCTGAATGAATTCAATACTGTACAAAGGTTTAATGAGAATTAAATGAACAGCATCAAAGCACATATTGTTGTCAGTAGCAGTAATGTTTCAGTTTTTAAAAAAATCCTGAAAATTATGTACAGATGAGGTTTTTATCCTGTTTTAGTGCCAGTTTGTTTAAAGGCAATGGATCAAAGAAGTTATTCTACTTTTAAATTTTTTCATGTTATGTTAACACAAATAATAACCTAATTAAATGGAATATTCTGGAAATCTTTCTTTACATCTTTATTTTTAAAACTCAAGTTGACAGTGTCGTTTTTCAGTATAAAGGTATGTGGCTGAATTCCAGCTTGAGGTTCGTGAAGGAAGGTTTGAGGTTGTTTGAACAGGAAAGCAGGTCAGTTTGAGTTATGTGTTGTGACGACGAGGCTCTTTGGTTGCTTTACTTTACCTGTAGGTTTAATGGCCTTAAATTTTCCATACTTACATTGACCTACTTTACACAGAGCTATGTGTTGACCTGCTAGTGGAGGAAAGTCAATTTATTTTAGTTGTGAAATCAATACTGTGTATGATGTGTACTGTGGCATACTGTACTGATACATGTAAGAGCAGTGCTGGGATTAGGTAGTTCATATTTGTTTAGCAGCATTTGGAAGTCTTTAATAAATTGTTGGATTAAAACTTTTTTAAATATTATCAAAGGTGGGGTTTTTTTGCAAGTATTAGTTGGTTCACCATACTGAAGATGCACATTTCAAAAATATACTTACTGTTAAATTGCTTTGTGTACACAGTGCAGAAATGCTTCCTTGCAAAAAGCGTCACCTTGTGCAAGTTCAAAGACCCTGTAAATCACAACCAAGTAGCAGGTGCAACTGTTACTGCCTTCTCTTCTTTACCACTACACCAACATAAGCCCAAAACCCAACTAGACACTATCATTTGAAAGTGTTTCACTGTGGTGAAAAACAACAGCACTAAGGAATGACTGAATGGAAGTGTGCAACAGGCAAGCTTTTTACTTGTGGTTGCCCTAGTTAATAATTTTGCATGTCAGTGCCAAAAGCAACACAGGTTCTCATTGTGCAGATTATTTACCATAACAAATGTGTGTACCAATGCCTACAGTACTGCAGATGCCGTTCCTCAGGCTTAGAATTACTGTGGCTTTTACCAGGAGAGCATCAACAAGTAATGTGAAACCAAAGTGGGAAGCTGAAACCAAGCTGCAAATTAATTTTGGCAACTATTCATTGAGTTAATCTAAGACATGCAAGACCAAGAGGAGCATGCTGGCACTTGACAGGCGGAATCAGAAGGCCAGAAAGTAAGACAGTAAGGCAGTTATGGAGGCAAGAGTGAGACAGAAAAACAACACTATCTAAAATCTATTTTACAAATCTAGTTGGAAAAGAAGCTGTCGATCTAGATAAACAGCTTTTACAGAAATGCTGTCTCTAGTGCCTCATTGCCTGCGAATAAACAATTCTGATTCTAATTCTGATTCTGATTCTCATGTAAGCATAAACAAGTAGTCTGTAGTTGACATGCTGCACTCAGAGGCAAATCAGTAAACAGACAACCGCATAAATCTGAATGTCATTCACAAAGACAGAGTTTTCTAAAAACCTGCACCTGCTCTGTTCTCTAACTGCATTTTGACCTAAAAGACAGACACTAAAATGGAAAGAGAAAGGGGACAACAGAAAAGGAGATTCCAAGTATGTTATTCTGCAGGTTTCACAGTCAACAGCAGCTCTTTACTTGAAAACAACTCGGTGTCACCTTACTCACCCTGTCATCATCATTTCACACCTCTCTTTGCCTCACCCACACATATAGACTTACAGGTGGCATGTGTTTACCATCTTCTCTCTCTCGCTCTCTCTCTCTCTCAACCATTGCAAGGACACTCCCTGTTTGTCTGTATGCCACCAAGGTCTAACTCAGCCAGGAGTAAACACCAGCAGTGGACTTGTCTGTCTGTCTGTCTGTCTGTCTGTCTGCCTGCAGGCAGTATCTGGGATGTGCAGCATTATGCCAGACATACAGACATCAATAAGAACAAGGACATTTGTGCCTAGAGGTGCAGAGTTGTAGTAGCTGCTATAACAACACTGTTGGTATGAAAGAATTTTTTCTGCTTTCTAGAATTAGATACTAGAGCATAATTATTTTCATTTAATCATACAATACAGGAATAATAATGCAACCATGCAACTCCAGGACAACAGCTCAGACAGCCACTAATCAGGGCTCATGTTGAAATCCATTAAACAATGTTTCTTGACTCCTCCTACCTATATAGAGACAGAAAAATAAATCAGATTTGGAATGTTTTGTGCAGGATCACACCTTTAATGAAATAAATGTGTCTTTACTGAATGATCAGTAGTGAAAACTGGGAAAACGTCAGAATAGAAGAGCTATTAGTTGTTCATGAGCGTATTGCTTGTGTTCATAGGCTTTACAGTAATGGTGGGGGAAGGTTTGAGAGCCTTTACTTAAAGCAGCTATAATCAACATTTCATATCATAATGAATGCTGAAATGAAATTGGCATCTCCTCTCAGTTCTACACAAGTTTTTAGTGTCTTTTAGTTTATTATTTTGGTTTTCCAGCCACCAACTCTGGAGTAAAAATACATTTAAGTATTATCAGCAAAATGTTATCAATAACAAAGTAAAATGTATTCATTGTGCAAAACTTTAGTGTTTTATTATTATCATATATTATATATGTATCATTATTGTATATTGTGCTGGCAGCATTTTAACTAGCTGTGTAGTAGAATAAAAAGTACAATAATTACCTCTGAAATGCCGCAGAGCAGAAGTATAAAGTAGCATGAAATAGCACTCAAATATTCAAGTAAAGGGCAAAATACAGTCATGAAGTATATTTACTTTGCACCACTATGTGACAGTGATCTGAAATATTAGAACTGATCTTCCGTCATGGCTAGTTTTTTAAAATTCTGCACAGATTGTGATCTCTTTAACAAATGTACTATACAGTGACACAAGTGGAAACTGGATATCATCTTGTCGTGTTGGTGCGAGGGGGCTCGTTGGAATTGGAGGAACTTGGCAGGACGCTGTGGGCTTTGTTTCTCCCATGCTGGGTAACAGGATGTGCAGCAGGGAGGTCATGGACCATTCCAGGGGGAAGAGAGGCCTCTGATTTACACACTCTGAACCCAGCTACGACCTGGGTCACAGCCCTCAAATTTACAACTGGGGCCCATAGGAGGCAGAGGGGATGCCAAAAAGACAATCACCCCAGAGGTAACTATAAGACATTCTCTGCCTCTCTCTTTCTGTCCTTCTCTTTCTCACAGACTCTTTGTCCCCTGTCCCCCTCCAAACCCTCTGAACTTTAGTACACCCTGGTTCTCTACAGATTATCCTCGTTTCCTCCCATTAATTGCAAAAAGTGAGGTCTAATTAGGCTCCAGGAGGGCAAGCCAAGTGTTTACAGCAAAGGGATCTTTAGAAAATGAAAGATTAAAAACTTGGCATGCATAGCACATCTCTCACTCAAAATATGTTAATTCTGTTTACCTGTTTGTAAACGCACAGGGCTTTAATTCACTGCTGTGCAGGATAGCATATCACGTTCAGGATGGTAAAATAACATAGAAGACCTTGAAGGAGGTACATTTTGAAACAAATAGCTTAGGGTGTAGGCATAAACAGAAACCCTTGTATAGTCGTGTGAGCAAGATGACATAGATGTACTGCAGAAAAAACAAATAAATACACAACTAGAAAGAGTAAAATGAAGAGAAGACAGCTTGAAGGATGACAACAAAAAAGCCTAGAGCAGCTTGGGCATTCTTGATTTACTTTTATGTAAGCGAAAGTGCAAGAGG